GGTTCCGGGCGCCGGCGAGACTGAAGCCTCCCTCTCCCTGAGCAACTTGAGCAAGGGCGTGGAGCGCCCACCCTGCGACAGCTCCGCCTCGAGGGCGGCCAGCTCCTGCGACGGCGACATGGCCGCCGGCGGGCTGGCAAACGCCGGGTTAGGTCCCTGGAGCCTCTCGCCGTGGTCCTGCAGGTCGGCCAGGTTGAGGCGCGGCGTCGAGGCGCGAACGTCGTCGGCAGCGCCGAGGCCGCCGAGTTCGCTGCGGCTGCGTGCCGCCTGGCGGAATCGGGCGACCGAGATGCTGCTGTTGTTGTTCTGGCTCTGGAACGGTGACACCCCGACTGCCTTTGCCGGGCTGGCCGCCTTGACCTGGGGCGGGGACAGCACCACCGAGCTCCGGTTGCTGGCGGGGGATTTGACGTCGTCGGCAAAGGGAGACGGCAGCACGAGCTCTTCGGTGGGCGTGACAAACTCTTCGCCGCCGTTCAAGAGGCTCTGCCTGCGGGCGTTTACGCTCGATGCGCCTTCGGCCTTTGAGGCGTCGCTGGCGCTGCGGACGTTGCGGAACGAGTGCAGGCTGAAGGTGCCGGCGCTGGTGTCGACGCCCGGGCTGGGCAGGGGCGAGGCGGCTCTGGACGAGTTGCTGGCGGCCGAGTCGACGCCGAGGCCGCTGTGCCGGCGTGCGCCGAATGGCAGGCCCAGGCCTGGACCGGGGCGCCGCGTCTTTGTCGTCGAGGGCGGATGGGCTCCGCGCGTGTGCAGCTGCCCCTCTGCTGGGCGAGTGGCGAGCTCGCGCTCAAAGTCGGATGCGATCGAGGCGCTGCTGTTGCGACCGGACGTCGAGCGCCGAGGGTAGTCGGATGCCCCGCTCACGGTCCGCGTCCTCTGCGCCTCGGCCAGCTCCGAACGAGGGCCGACGGCAAAGGCCGACGCGGCGCCATCGTCGTGGTCGTGGTCGCTGCTCGCCGCCGGCGCCTTTACGCTCGAGGGCTGGTTGAGCTGCGAGTTGGAGCTGTTGTTGCGCTGCCCGATGGGCTTGCGCACCACCTCAAAGGTGCTCTGCGGCCGCTTGGAGCGGAAGGCATCGAGTAGGCGGGAGCGCCGCTTGATGAGCTTGCTGCCCCCATCGGCGGGTCCGGCGTCGGCGGCGGCGGCGGCGGCGGGAAGTTCGGCCAGCGTGCTCCGGTTGCTGACCTGGCCCGACGAGGTCGATGCTGGCAGGGCGGAGCGCGGCGAAGTGGGCGAGGGCGACGTCTCAGGATGCGCATCATCCCTGAACAGGCGTAGCTGGCTCAGGTTGCGCAGCTTGGTGAAAGTGCCCGCGGTGGTGGTGGTGGGCGCGGCGGCTGATCCGGGCGTGGTTTCGAGGTCGTGCTTGCGCAGCGAGAGGGCCGAACCAAGGTTGCGGTTGCGATATAGGTCGCCCTGGATGACCCGCGGCGGCGATGCAGCGGCGACACCGCCACCCGCAGCCGTGTCTGGGCCGCCGGATCGATCCGACATCCGTCAGCTCGACTCGTCGCGTCCGTTGTGGTGCGCAGAGGGCCGCCCCCGGAGGCTGGTAAGTGGACGGCACCGAGGCGGGTATCGAGGCCTTCGATGGGTGCGCCTAAGGAAGCTCGAGTGACGGTCAACAGTAGTAGTGTCTAGGCGTCATCGGGAGCGTGCGTGAGGCGAGCAAGGCCGTCGGCGGCGGCGGCGGCGGCGGTGGTGATGGTGGTGTTGGTGTCGCCTAGTGCCCGCTGCTATGGCGCCGGCTGGCTGGCTGGCTGGCTGGCGGGGTGCCTGCCTCTCTCGCCGAGCGTGGCGGGACCCTGAGGGACAAGCGGGTGCACGGCCGGCCAGCTCAAGCCAGGCCAGGCCGACCCCAGCGGGCAATCGCGTCGGCACCGAGAGCCCGTCGACAGGAAGAAGTGGCCGCGGCCTGCCCTCCCGCCAAGGCGCGGGGGCCATGGCGGACAGATCGTCATTCCGTCAGAGCGGGGCCCTGGCCATCCCGACGCTGGCCTCGTCAAGCGTCGACCTTGAGCTTGCCTTCGCTCCTTGCGCTTCTCACGACCCGCTCCTCTCTGCCAGCTCGTTCTTCTGCACCTCCTCGACCGCCACCGCCACCAGCTCTACCACCACTGCTACCACCACCACCACCGCCACTTGTGCTCCTCTTCGTCTCGCTGACTTGCGATCCACCACGATGCTCGGAGCAGCACGCCTTCGAGGCGCGGCCACCCAAGCCGTCCGGGCAGGCGCATCCACCACCACCGCCAGGCAGATCCACTTCGCCGCGCGCCCCGCCTGCCGCCCTTCGCTCGCCGGCTCCCGACCGTCTTCCGCCATCGCGCAGGCGCAGAGGACGCTCTTCACCCGCACGCCCCCCACGCCGCTCGCAAGGACGCGCCAGTTCGCTTACCTCGTCCTCACGCTGGCCGGCGGTGCTTTCGCCGTGGCCTACTACCTCGACTCGCGATCCGGCATCCACCGCTGGGTGGCCATCCCCTTGCTCAAGGCATTCACCGATCCGGAGACCGCCCAGAAGCTGGCCATCAAGCTTCTCGAGACCGGCCTGGCGCCCAAAGACTTTGGAGTCGATGACGAGATCCTCCAGACCGAGGTGGTTGTCGGCCGCCTCGCGATCCGGTTTTGACTCTGGACTATGCCTTGACATCTGCTGACCTCGAGTTGCTCCCTGCCCTCTGCCCGCGCGCGATCTGCAGCTCTTTGGCAAGACCATCTCGAACCCCATCGGACTTGCCGCCGGCTTCGACAAGCAGGCCGAGGCCATCGATGGCCTCCTCGACCTTGGCTTTGGCTTCATCGAGATTGGCAGCGTCACCCCCGAGCCTCAGGTAGGTGGATCCCCGTGCCTTGGATGTTGCCTCGGTCGCGGCCTCTGACGACCTTCACCCTTGTCCTCTTCCCTGCACTCTCCTTCTCTCCCCCTGCTGCCTGTCCGGCCCTCTTCGTAGCCCGGCAACCCGCAACCGCGGTACTTCCGCCTCACCGACGACGAGGCCTGCATCAACCGGTTTGGATTCAACTCCGAGGGCCACTCGGTCATCCTCAGCCGGCTCCGGGACCGCGTCCGACGATGGCTGCTCCACTCGACCAATGTGGCCAGCCTGCACCAGGCCCTGACCGGCTCGCCCGACGGCTCGTCGACGGCCGCGCAGCAGCTGCTCGCGTCGCATCCCAAGAGCAACTCGGCTTTTGTTGACGCCGTCGGCCTGCCGAGGAGCCTGCAGCACGGCAAGCTGCTCGCCGTCAACCTCGGCAAGAACAAGACGAGCAAGGAGGAGAGCGTGGACGACTACGTCAAGGGCGTCGAGCGCCTCGGTCCGTATGCCGACATGATCGTCGTCAACGTCAGCAGCCCCAACACGCCCGGCCTGCGCCGGCTGCAGCGCCGCGGCGTGCTCGAGGACCTGCTGACGCAGGTGGTCAAGGCGAGGGACGCCATGGTGAGCGCCCACGTCAACCCGGCCAAGGAGGGTGGCAAGGTGGCGGTGCCGCTGCTCGTCAAGATCGCGCCGGATCTGAGCACCGAGGAGCTGCACGACGTCGCCGACGCGGCCATCAACAGCGGCATCGACGGCCTCGTCATCAGCAACACGACCATCTCGCGGCCCGAGAGCCTGCGGTCGTCGGAGCACGTCCGCGAGACGGGCGGCCTCTCTGGGCCTCCGGTCAAGCCGCTGGCGCTCAAGGCGCTGCAGACGGTGCACGGCCGCATCCAGGGCAAGCTGCCCATCATTGGCTGCGGCGGCGTCACCAACGGCCAGGACGCGCTCGACTACGCCAAGGCGGGAGCGAGCGCCGTCGAGCTCTACACGAGCTTTGGCTACCAGGGCGTGGGCCTGCCGCGCAAGATCAAAGACGAGCTGACGGAGCTGCTCAAGGCCGAGGGCAAGACGTGGAAGCAGGTCGTCGGCACGGGCGTCAAGCTGTCCGAGGTGACGGTGGCCGCGCCCAACGACAACGTCCCCATGGGCCTGAGCCCGGCGCGCGACGAGGCCTTCACCAAGAGCGTGGCCAGCGTCAAGCAGGAGCTCGCCGGGCTGCGGCAGAACCTGGGCCTGCCGAGCGCGTCGTCGCCGCCACCGGCCGTGTTTGTGCCGGACCGCGAAAAGGACGAGGCGTACTACACGCTCGTCGAAAAGGCCAACGCGGCGCTCGGGCTGAGCTTCCCGGCGGGGCAGAAGCCGTCGGCGTCGGCGGCGTCGCCCGAGGCGCTCAAGGATGCGCCCAAGACGCAGGGCGAGCAGGCGGCAGAACGGGCGGCGGCGGTGCTCAAGGACCCCAAGGGGCCAGAGATCAAGGTGCAGGTGACGGACAAGACCAAGAAGGTGTTTGGCGACAGCCTGCGCGGCCGGGTGGCCGAGGCCGAGGACGCGGCGGCCAACCGGGACTTTGGCAAGGTCGACAAGAGCCGCGTCGTCTGAGCGGGGCGCCGAGCGACGTGGCGAGGGCGGTGGCCGTAGAGGGTGGCCAGTGGCCCGTGCCGCCGCCTGCTGTGGCTCCAGCTGCCACACACGCGATGCAATGCACGTTGATAGACTGACGCCGATGGATGGGTCGATGATGCGGCGAGCGAGAGAGATGAGTGCGTGTGAACGAGAGCTGGATGGCGAGGGCGGCCATGGTCGGGCTCGAGGAAGCCAGGCTTGGCTTTGCGGCTCCGAGAGGGAAAAAGTCAGGCGCGCTCGGACCTGCTCCCGCCCTGCCAGGCCCTGTGCTGGGCGAGCCGGCGGAGTGGCCTAGGGCCCGTCCAAGAGGAACCGCAGCCGCGCCCTTCCCTCCACCATCCTGCCCACCCGCCATACCCGCTCCCTCGATATCCTCCTACCGCTGCTCTTCTCCTCGTCCGTCGTCCGCAGCCCGGCGCATCAGGCTCCGCTACCTGTGGAGTGCTCTGACTCCTTCCGACCAGCCGCGCTCAGAGGACGCCGAACGATCGCTGCACCGAGCGCAAGCAGGCAAGCAGGCCAGCCTCGGCCCTCACCATCCTTCACACAGCGCAGATCCTGCCATACCCTAGCCTTCCCTGCCCTGCCCTGCCCTGCCCTGCTCTGCACCACCACCACCTTGCTCCGCACTGCGCTGCCCATCCTAGCCGGGCTTTGGCACCGCCACCACTGCTACACTCCCTCCTTTGATCCGCACTTGTTTCGGCCGGGGATGCGGTCCTGAGGCTCGTATAGACGCTCATCGCCCTCAGCCTGCGCTCGCTTCAGGCCAGGCTCGACGCTACACGCTCCTTGACATCGCCAAGGCCTCCCTTCGCTCAGCTTCCTGTCCATCCGGCTTCTGCGCCTGCGCCTGCGCCCGCCCCCGCTGCCGCTGCCGCTGCCGAGCAGTGACGTGGCGCCCGACCCTTCGCGACCGGCATGTCGACCATCAGCGCGCAGCAGAGCGACACGCTCAACCGCATCTTTACCGCGCTAAAGAGCCGCGACGATGCCACCCGGCAGGCCGCGGGCCGTGACCTGGGCTCCCACGTCAGCCTCGTCATCTCTGAGCTCAAGGGAGACCACCTCTCGACGTTCTTCAACGACCTCCACCGCCGCATCTTTGAGCTCACGCATAGCCAGCATGCCCACGAGAAGCTCGGAGGCATCGTCGCAATCGGTGGGTGCTGTCTCTCTAGCTCCGACTTCCATCGGCGTCCCATCGCTTCGATCGCTGACGCCTTGCCGCTGCCCGCACGCCTCTCTCACACACTTTCGACGACCTGCCTCGTGCGCAGAGGGCCTGATCGACCTCGAGAGCGAGGACAACAGCGCCCGCCTGTACCGCTTCTACCAGTACCTCAAGCCGAACCTGCCCTGCAACGATGCCCAGGTCATGATCGCCGCCTCCAAGGCGCTCGGCCGCGTGTCGCACTTTGGAGGCCAGTCGCTCGGCGACCAGTTTATCGAGTTCGAAGTGCTCCGGGCGCTCGACTTTCTCCAGGCCGGCGACCGCAACGAGTCCGGCCGGTACGCCGCCGTCCTGATCATCAAGGAGATTGCCCGCAACGTGCCGCACCACTTCCACCTCTACGTGCCGCGGGTGCTCGACCGGATCTGGATCGCGCTGCGCGACACGCGCGTCATTGTCCGCGAGGGCGCCGCCGAGGCCATGGGCGCCTGCCTCGAGATCATCGCCTCGCGCGAAAAGCAGATGGGCAGCCACTTTTTCGAGACCATCTACGAGGAGGCCGAGCGCGGCCTCAAGATGAACACGGTCGAGGCCATCCACGGCAGCCTGCTCGCCGTCCAGCAGCTGCTCCAGTACTCCAAGACCTTCATGCGCTCCCGCTTCCACCGCGCCTGCGAGCTCGTCTTCCGCCTGCACAAGCACCGCGACCCGCTCATCAAGCGCACCATCACCAACCTCGTGCCCGTGCTGGCCCGCTACGACCCGCAGTACTTTGCCGAAGAGCACCTCGGCGCCGTCATGACGATATTGACCGAGCAGCTGCGCAAGGAAAAGGAGCGCTCGCCCAAGGAGTCGTCGCAGACGTTCGAGACGATCGGCTTTGTGGCGGCGGCCATGGGCAGCCGGATGAAGCCCTACATCGAGCCCATCCTCGCGTGCATCAAGGAAGGGCTCCAGATGCGCGGCAAGAAGAACGCGCCGCCCGAGTCGCCCATCTTCCTGTGCATCGGCAATCTCGCCACCGCCGTCGGCCCGCACCTGACAAAGTACATGCACGACCTGCTCGACCTGATGTTTGCGTGCGGCCTCAGCGTCTCGCTCGTGACGGCGCTCGACCGCATCGTCAAGTCGATCCCGCCGCTGATGCGCGTCGTCCAGGACCGCCTGCTCGACATGCTCTCGATGACCCTCATCAGCCAGCCCTACCGGCCGCTCGGCGCGCCGCTGCCGCTGCGAGGCGCCCGCGACGGCGCGGCGGCCGCCCAGACGTCCGAGGCCAAGGGCGTCGAGACGGTGACGGTGGCGCTCGAGACGCTGGGCAAGTTCGACTTCCAGGGCCACATCCTCAACGAGTTTGTGCGCAACTGCACGCTGCCCTACCTCGAGGACGACCACGCCGCGGTGCGCAAGGCGGCCGCCGAGACCTGCGCCGACCTCTTCGTCAACGACCCGATCTGCTACCAGACCAGCATGCACGCCATCGAGGTGGTCAACGACGTGCTCGACAAGCTCATGACCGTCGGCATCGCCGATCCGGTGGCCGACCTGCGCTGGACGGTGCTCAACAAGTTTGGCACGCGCGAGCAGTTTGACCGCCACCTGGCCCAGTCCGAGTACGTCCGCTCGCTCTTTATCGCGCTCAACGACGAGAGCTTCAAGGTGCGCGAGGTGGCCATCGTCATCATCGGCCGGCTGGCCAAGCACAACCCGGCCTACGTGATGCCGTCGCTGCGCAAGGCCCTCATCCAGCTGCTGACCGAGCTCGAGTACTCGACCGTCAGCCGCAGCAAGGAGGAGGCGGCCAAGCTGCTGACCGAGGTGGTGCGCGCCTCGCAGCGCCTCGTCAAGTCGTACGCGCTGCCGATGCTCGAGGTGCTGCTGCCCAAGGCGAGCGACGCCAGCGTCGGCGTGTCGGCGCGCGTCATGGAGTGCCTCGGCGAGCTGGCCAAGGTAGGGGGTGAGGACCTGGCGCCCAACGTCGACCAGCTGATGCGGCTCGCCATCGACCAGCTGTCGTCGACGGCGCCGCACTCGTCGACGGCCAAGCGCGACGCCGCGCTCAAGACGCTCGGCCTGGTGGCGTCCAACACGGGCAACGTCGTCAACCCGTACCTCACCTACCGCAACCTGCTCGGCACCGTGGTCAAGATCCTCAAGAACGAGCAGGTGCCCGCGGTGCGGCGCGAGACGATCCGCGTCATGGGCATCCTCGGCGCGCTGGACCCGTACCGCTACAAGCTGCTCGAGAAGCAGGGCGACGAGGGCAGTGCCGAGGCGTCCAAAGGCAGCGGCACCGACCTCTTTGAGCTGGCGCTGGCCATCGGCACCTCGACCGACGACTACTACCAGAACGTGGCCATCGACGCCCTCATCTCGATCCTCAAGGACCCGTCGCTGTCGACGCACCACCACGCCGTCATCGAGGCCATCATGTACATGTTCAAGACGCAGGGGCTCAAGTGCGTCACCTTCCTGCCCCAGATCATCCCGGCCTTCCTCAACGTGATCCGCACCTGCGGCACCGGCCTGTCCGAGTTCTACTACCAGCAGCTGGCCATCCTCATCTCGATCATCAAGCAGCACGTCCGCAGCTACCTCGAAGACATCTTTGGCCTGGTCCAGGAGAACTGGAACCCCAACTCGAGCATCCAGCTGACCATCGTGTCGCTCGTCGAGGCCGTCGCCAAGGCGCTCGAGGGCGAGTTCAAGTCGTACCTGCCCGTCCTGCTGCCCAACATGCTCCAGACGCTCGACGGCGAGATCACGTCCAAGCGCCAGCCCACGCTGCTCCGCATCCTCCACGCCTTCTACGTGTTCGGCTCCAACATCGAAGAGTACCTCCACCTCGTCCTGCCCGTCATTGTCAAGATGTTTGAGCGCCCGGACGCCTCGACGACGCTGCGCAAGGCCGCCATCGCCACCGTCGGCAACCTGTCGCGCAAGGTGAGCTTCTGCGACCACGCGTCGCGCGTCGTCCACCCGCTGGTGCGCGTGCTGCACAACAACGCCAGCGCCGACGTCCGCGGCGCCGTCATGGACACGCTGGCGGCGCTGGTGCTGCAGCTCGGGTCGTCGTACGCCATCTTTATCCCCGTGGTCAACAAGGTGCTGGTGCAGTACCGGATCCAGCACGCCACCTACGACCAGCTGATCGCCAAGCTGCTCAGCGGCGAGCGGCTGCCGCAGGAGCTGGTGCCGCTCGACGGCTCGCTCGACAACAAGGCCGAGGAGGCGCCGCTGGCCGAGGCCACCAAGATGACGGTCAACCAGCAGCACCTCAAGCAGGCCTGGGACACGTCCAAGGTGTCGACCAGCGAGGACTGGAAGGAGTGGCTGCGCCGGATGGCCGTCGAGTTTATGCGCGAGTCGCCGTCGCACGCCCTCCGCGCGTGCCGCAGCCTGGCCGACGTCTACCAGCCGCTCGGCTTCGCCATGTTCAATGCCGCCTTTGTCTCGTGCTGGACCGAGCTCTACGAGCAGTACCAGAGCGACCTGGTCAAGGCCATCGAGACGGCCTTCGACGCGCCCGACGTGCCCGACCACATCGTCCACATGCTCCTCAACCTGGCCGAGTTCATGGAGCACGACGACAAGGCGCTCCCCATCAACATCCGCACCCTGGGCGACCGCGCCTACAAGTTCCACTCGTACGCCAAGGCGCTCCACTACAAGGAGGCCGAGTTCCTCACCGACCCGTCGCCGCAGGTCATCGAGTCGCTGATCGACATCAACACCAAGCTGCAGCAGTCAGACGCCGCGTTCGGGGCGCTCACCTACGCCCGCGAGCACCTCGACATGACGCACCACGAGGAGTGGTACGAGAAGCTGCACCGCTGGGAGGAGGCGCTGTTCGCCTACGACCGCAAGGCCGAGCTCGACCCGGACGACTACGAGATCGCCTTTGGACGCATGCGCTGCCTCCACGCCCTCGGCGAGTGGGAGCACCTGTCGGACCTGGTGCAGCAAAAGTGGCACAACGCCGACCCCGAGGACCGCCGGCACATTGCCCCGCTCGCCGCCGCCGCCGCGTGGTCGCTGGGCGAGTGGGAGACGATGGACGAGTACATCTCGGCGATGCGCTCCGACTCGTCGGAGCGCTCCTTCTACCGCGCCATCCTCCACACGCACCGCTCGCAGCGCTCGGCGGCCAACAAGCAGATCGCAAAGGCGCGCGAGTCGCTCGACGGCGAGCTGACGGCGCTCATCAGCGAGAGCTACGGCCGCGCCTACGACCTCATGGTGCGCACCCAGATGCTCTCGGAGCTCGAGGAGGCGCTGGCGTACAAGCTCGACTACAAGGACCAGCCCGACCGCCAGGCGACGATCCGCTCGACGTGGATGAAGCGGCTCAAGGGGTGCCAGCCCGAGGTCGAGGTGTGGCAGCGCATCCTGTCGGTGCGCAGCATCGTCCTCACGCCCGCCGACGACACCGAGACGTGGATCAAGTTTGCCAACCTGTGCCGCAAGTCGGGCCGGATGGTGCTGGCCGAGAAGACGCTCAACTCGCTGCTGGGCCCGGAGCTCAACGGCGTCGACGCCCGCTCGCCCATCGGGCCCAAGGCGCCGCCGCCCGTCATCTACGCCCACCTCAAGTTCATGTGGGCCAGCGGCGTCAAGACCGAGTCGCTCACCTACCTGCGCGACTTCACCATCAACCTGGCCGACGACCTGGGCATCTACGCCGTCGACGACCAGGGAAACCAGGTGGTCCAGGACTGGCAGGCGTCTCCGCGGCTGGGCGAGTTTGCGCGCCTGCTGGCGCGGTGCTACTTCAAGCAGGGCGAGTGGCAGACGGCGCTCAACGAGGACTGGGTCACCGACGACGAGTGCGACGTCATCGAGTCGTATCGGCGCGCCACGGAGCTGGACCGCAACTGGTACAAGGCCTGGCACGCCTGGGCGCTGGCCAACTTTGAGATCATCACGCACCACGAGCGCAAGGGCGACCAGATCACGCCGCAGATGATCGCCGCCAGCATCGTGCCGTCGGTCCAGGGCTTCTTCCGCTCCATTGCCCTCGCCAGCGGCAACTCGCTCCAGGACACGCTGCGCCTGCTGACGCTGTGGTTCAAGTACGGCTACCAGGAGGACGTGGCCGAGGCGGTCAACGAAGGCTTCAGCAGCGTCATCGTCGACACCTGGCTCGAGGTGATCCCGCAGATCATTGCCCGCATCACGGCGCCCAGCCAAAAGGTGCGCCGCCTGATCCACCACCTGCTCTCGGACGTCGGCCTGGCGCACCCGCAGGCGCTCGTCTACCCGCTGACGGTGGCCACCAAGTCGCCCAGCGTCATCCGCATCCAGACGGCCATGGGCATCATGGACAACATCCGCGAGCACAGCCCCGTGCTCGTCGAGCAGGCGCTGCTGATCAGCAACGAGCTGATCCGCGTCGCCATCCTGTGGCACGAGCTGTGGCACGAGGGGCTCGAGGAGGCGTCGCGCCTCTATTTCACCGAGCACAACATCGACGCCATGTTTGCCACGCTCGAGCCGCTGCACGACGCCCTGGAAAAGGGGCCCGAGACGCTGCGCGAGACGTCCTTTGCCCAGACCCACGGCCGCGACCTGGCCGAGGCGCGCGAGTGCGGCCGCCGCTACCGCCAGTACGGCGACCTGAGCGACCTCAACCAGGCGTGGGACCTCTACTACCACGTCTTCAAGAAGATCACCAAGCAGATCCCCGCGTCGAACTCGGTGCAGCTCGACCTGCAGTACGTGTCGCCCAAGCTGCTGGCGATGCGCGACCTGGAGCTGGCGGTGCCGGGCACCTACCAGAGCGGCAAGCCGATCGTGCGCATCATGAACTTTGAGCAGATTGTGCTCGTCATCGCGTCCAAGCAGCACCCGCGCCGGCTCAAGATGAAGGGCAGCGACGGCAAGGCGTACCAGTACCTGCTCAAGGGCCACGAGGACCTGCGGCAGGACGAGCGGGTGATGCAGCTCTTTGGGCTGGTCAACACGCTGCTGTCGACCGACTCGGAGTCGTACAAGCGGCGGCTCGAGATCCGGCGGTTCCCCGTCATCCCGCTGTCGCCCAACACGGGCATGCTGGGCTGGGTCGAGGACACCGACACGCTCCACGTGCTCATCAAGGAGTACCGCGAGCAGCACAAGATCCTGCTCAACATCGAGCACCGGCTGATGCTGCAGATGGCGCCCGACTACGACCACCTGACGCTGATGCAGAAGGTCGAAGTGTTTGAGTACGCGCTCGACAACACGCCGGGCCAGGACCTGTACCGCGTGCTGTGGCTCAAGTCGCGCAACTCGGAGTCGTGGCTCGAGCGCCGGCTGGCCTACACGCGCTCGCTGGCCGTGTCGTCGGTGGCGGGCTACATCCTCGGGCTGGGAGACCGGCACCCGTCCAACCTGCTGCTGGACCGGCTGACGGGCCAAATCATCCACATCGACTTTGGCGACTGCTTCGAGATTGCGTGCCACCGGCCCAAGTTTCCCGAAAAGGTGCCGTTCCGCCTGACGCGGATGCTCGTCAACGCCATGGAGGTGGGTGGGATCAAGGGGACGTTCAAGGTGACGGCCGAGAATACGATGCGCGTGCTGCGCGACAACCGCGAGAGCGTGCTGGCGCTCCTCGAGGCATTTGTGCACGATCCGCTCATCAGCTGGCGCCTGGTCACCGACGATGCCAGCGAGCGCCAGGCACCCGATGCCAGCGAAAACGAGGCGGCGGCGGGACACCGTACCAACCAGGTTGGCGATGTGCGCAACCAGAAGGCGCTCGAGGTGGTACGCCGCATCCAGAACAAGCTCAACGGCCGCGACTTCAACCCCAACGTCTCGCTCAGCGTCGCCGCCCAGATCGAGAGACTGGTTCAGGACGCCACGTCCAAGGAGAACCTCTGCGTCGCTTTCGTCGGGTACGTGTCGTGTTGTGTCGTGTCGTGTCGTGTCGTGTCGTGTCGTGTCGTGTCGTGTCGTGTCGTGTCGTGTCGTGTCGTGTCGTGTTGTGTCGTGTTGTGTCAGTCGCTGGGACCCCCACGGCACGGCCCCCTTCGATGCGACACAGGAGCGAGACCTGAACTGACGCCATACCTCTTCTTTCCTCTCCATCCGACTCGCTTTCTCCCGCCCTGATCCCGCCGCCTCGTCCAATGCAGATGGTGCTCGTTCTGGTAGACCACCACGTCCTCCTTCTACTCCTCCTCCTCGCTACCAGCCAGCCCAATCTCACCCTCAAGCCAGTTACACGTCTTCGATGCCTTCCCCCCCCTGTACTCCTACCCCCCATCCTACCCCATCTCGGCCCATTTATCACGCCATCCTCTCCCGCTCGAAACGAGGGCGCGATCCGCACCACGGACGACGCTCTCGACCAACCGATCGCGACACACAAGACGCACGCATGCGTAGGCACAGATATTCTCCGACTGCATCTCCCGTCGCGGGGCGGGAGGGAGGTCGGAAAGGAAGAAAGGAAGGAAGAGGTGAAGTACAAGGTCGAGAAGAAGAAAAGGAGCCGAGCAGAACAGGACAGGACGAATAGCGGCGGACGTGCGAGCGGGCGGGCGTCTTTGGCCCCTGATCCTCCCGGCGATATGAGGAGCGGGAGAGAGATGGCGCGCCCGTCCGCTCTCCAGCCCGCACGGGACCCTGCTGCCGCTGCCGCTGCCGCTGCCGATGCCTCTGTCTAGAGCTAGGCGCCGTTGGGCTGGGCCTGCTGCTTGGTGCTGCTCTCCTTGAGCGCGAGGAGCTGCTTGGACCGGAAGGCCTCGTAGTGGATCTGCGCCGTCGTCTCAATCAGGTCTTGCAGGTGGGTCCTGTTGGCGCGACGACGGAAAGGATTGCACAAGAAGCGAGGCGGAGTCGAGAGTGGCGCCAAAGAGGGAGGGTTCAGCATGCCCGTGTGCCCGTCAACGTTTCGATCGGGAGCCCCCAAACAGACACGTACCGGGTGAGGAAGTTGCGCAGGTAGACAAACTCGCAGTGGTTCTCGTTTTCGACATTGATGACGCCGTACCGGTTCTTGCGGCCGCGGACGGCCTTGCCGTCGATGATGACGTTGCGCTCCGAGCCGACGACGGCAAAGGGGATGAGCGACTGTCGCGCGGTCGTAGCAGCCGATGAAGGCGTCGCAGACGGGCGGGGCTCAGAGTCAGCTCCCGGGAAGCTCGCGGCTTGGGCTTCGTTGCCCGATGCCTCTTCCTCTCTTCGCGCCCCTTGGGAAAAAGGCGCGCGCGCGCACTCACCCGGATCTTTTCGTTGACCTCGCGCTCCTCCTCCTCGTAGTCCTCGTTGTCAAAGGGGTAGACGCGGATGCTGTTGTACTGCATCTCTGCGCGGATGCGCTCCTTGAAGAGGTCCCTCTCGTCGAGCGTCAGGCTGTCGGCCTTTGCAATGACGGGCACCACGTTGACGACGTCGCTGAGCTTCTTCATGACGGTAACGTCGATCGGTCGCAGCCCGTGGCCGGTGCTGAGAGGGGCGGGGACCAGACGGAACGTGGAGGGAGGGTGAGGGACGATGTGGAACGTGTTCAGCGGACCCAGACCCAGACCCAGACCCGCAGGCTGCGTAGAGGAAGCGACTATCAGAGGAAGATGAAGGGGGGCCGCACACACTCACGGGTTGATGAAGAAGAGGCAGCAGTGGATGCGGGTGTCGGTAATGTACCGGTCGCGCATGGCGGTGAGCTCCTTGCGGAGGTAGGCGCTGTGCTGGTCCTTGATGTACTTGATGATGGGGTCCCAGCTGCGGCGGGGGGAATAGGGGGCGGACAAGAGGTCGGGGTGGAGAAACCGTCAGAGCTTAGCTGCGAGTCGGCGCAAGCCTGGCGAGAGGCAAGGGCTAGACCCCGAGACCTTGACGGCATGCTCACCAGTTTTCGTTGTTGACCTGGTCCCCGTATCCGGGCGTGTCGACGATGTTGAGACGAAGCCTGACTCCATTCTCGACGATGACTGGGGGAGAGGCGGGTCGAAGGGGCCGAGAGAAGGAGAGTCAGCGCCGATGAGCGGCCTTCTTTGCGAGGCGATGGCGAGGGGACGGGGCGCGAGTGCTCACCGTGCGAGACGGGGTGGATCTCGGTCGTCTGTCGGACGGTTTCGTGGGCCTCCATTCTGCCCTTTGAGTCGATGAGATGGCTGGCAAAGAGGGTGTTGATGAGGGTGCTCTTTCCGAGGCCGGTCTGACCGACGACCATGACGTTGAACTGGAAGCCACGCTTGAGGAGCTTGCTCTCAATCTGCTTTGTGATGCTGTCGAAGCCGACGTACGACTGGAGCGGCGTGTGGTCTTGCTCGACGGCGGCCATGTTGGGCGACTACTGGGTGCAGCTGCACGGGGAAGAGGATGGAAGAAGAGGTTGGCGGGGAGGTTGGAACGGCCGATGTCGCTGCGTCGGGTCCTCGGATGCGGGGGTTCGTGGAAGAAGGTTCCGGAGCGAAAAAGGAGCAGGGTGACGGTGGCTGAAGGGCCAGGCTGGAGGAGGAGGGGATAGGAGAGGAGAGGCGACAAGGCCAGACGGGACGGGACGGGACGAGACGAAAGGGGCGAAGGGTGGCTGCGCTGCGAACGGAGCTGTTGGTGCTGATGGCGGTGACGGAGGTGGTAGGCCGGTAGCGAGTGAAAGAGGGGTGGTGGTGGTGGTGGTGGTGGTGGTGTTCCGTGCGTGTGCGGTCGCGCTGCGCCTGGGCTGGGCCTGGGCTGGTGCTGGATGCCGGCTGGCGTGGTGGTGTGTGCCTCTGTGTGCTGCCTGTCTGGTCTGTCTGTGCCTCTCTCTGCCTGCCTGCCTCTGCCCCGCGCCCGCCCCCCCCCTCGCCTTGAGGTTCGCTTGAGGTCGTTCTCGCTTGCGCCCTTCCTTCTGCCCTCGCCCTCGCCCACTTACTCGCCCTCGCCCGCCGCCCCTCGTTCTCTTTGGAAAAGGGCGTGCGTGCGTGCGTGCGTGCACCTTTGGCCCGCCCTCTGCCTGGCACCCTTTGAGCTGGCTTGTGCGCGCGCGCAGGCCCCAGGCCGCTTGCCTGGCAGAGCCTCCTCTCAGCCCGCACCTCGTCTTTCCGCGCTCCTTTGCTCCCTCACTTCCCCATACCGACTTCCAGCACCACCAAAACGGCCGCGACGACGACGACGACCACCCTTGGAAGCGATGGCAGCATTACGGAGGCTCAAAGGTACATTTACAATAGACGCCGTGCGGCGTCGCACCTCTTTTCCCCTTGCGGCCAGCAAGAAAGCCACAGTCTCTCGTTTGCGAGCCTTGCCGGTACAGGCAACTCGACACCGACGCATCAGCAGTGGGCCAGCCGGCCTCTTCGCAGCCTACACCTGCGATCCTCGCGTGCTGCACCGGCGGGAAACCAGAGGTGATCAGAGAGCAGGATGGAGAGGGGGGAGAGAGAGACAGTGGTCAGCCAAGTCAAGCCCCCGTCGAGATTCCCCACCGTGCTTGTGCCCCGTCGGCGACGCTCACAAGTAGGCCTTCATGCCGTGCGTCGTGAGCTCGGCCTTGGCCTGCGCAAACGTGTGGCCCTGCTCGTGGTTGTGCTGCCAGATGAGCCGATAGTACCACAGGTTGCCCAGCCCCTGCAGCGCGAAACCGGCCGTGGCCAGCGCACCGAAGACGCCAGCCACGATGCGCCCGTTGGTGAAGCATTGGATCGTGTTGAGTAGACCAGCCGAGCCCGTACTGCGCATCGAGGGGGGGGGGTGGGGGGGGGGGGGGGGGAAGGGGGCAAGCCCAGACGGTCGTAACGGGGTTTGAGATCCAGTCAGCGCGATGCAAGCAAGAGCTTGGGATCGTCCAACGGCGCCCGCCCGTCGGCGTTTCAGGCGCTACTCACGAAGGGATCCCCAGGAAGCAGTAGAGCGAGAATGCCACTGCGAGATCAAGCAAGCCGGGCCAAGGAAGAGTCTTGGGTCAACCACGCCGCCCGCCGCCTGAGACCATCCTCTGTCGACGACAGCACCACCGGCGACTCACAGTGGAAGCCGCAGCTGACCGGATCCAAGCGCAGGAGCATTGTTGAAGGCGGGGAGACGAGGGTCAGCCAGGGATGCTCGTCGTCCTCGTATCAGCACTGCCGAGGCCGGATCGACTTGTGGCGCTCACAAACTGCCATGAGGGCCGAGGATACAAGCAGAGGATGGCAACCGGTCAGCGTTTCGAGGTTCTGGCAGTCGCAACACGTTGGGACTCGAACTCACATGAAATACATGTCTGAGCGGCAGACGCGACGTCGTCAGCAAGAGGTGGTTCCGGTTGCGCATGCTAGTCAGCTTCGAATGTCCAAGGAGGCCCCGACAAGCACGGGCCTGCTGGACTCACAGTAGAAGAGCGAGTGCTCCTTCATGAACCCGTTGTAGACCGGTCTGGCAGGAGACGGGGGGTGCAGGGCGGCAGGATGCGCGTGTGTGCAAGAGAGAGAGAGAGAGGGTCAGAGGCGCTGCCCAGGTGTGGGCTGCGCGACATGCGGCAGGGCTCCCGTGTCGACGAACCTGTACCACAGCAAAAAGCTGGCGACGGTGATGACTGGCAGGTAGACGATGCCCGAGATCATGTCCTTTCCGCCGTCGTTGGAGCCCGAGACGAGCAAGAGGATGCAGGCGACCATGTTGATGATGAGGGTGAGGACGAGGAGCAGCCAGAGCTTGTACATGTTGGACATGATGGGCTGGGCATCCGGCGGGATCTCGGCGTCAATGTCGTGGTAGATGAGCGGGTAGACTGGCGGCCACGGGTGGGCCGGTCGAGTGGATAGCAAAGGGGCCTCGGCTGCGTCAGTGGTCGTCGGACCCTCATGAGCCTGGATCGCGGCTGCGGTTGCTAGCCACGACGCTATATGGTCCGACGGAGGGCGTCGTGTCGGCGATCGACGCCTAGGGACTTACAGGGCGGCCAGTTATTGCGGCCGTGCTTCTGGATGTGTGCGGCGCGGTTTTCGAGCTCGCGCTCCCTCCTCTCTAGTTCTCTCTCCCTCTGCCTGAGCTCGTCGGCGCGGGCGGCATCGGCCCTAGAGGGGTTGCTCTGTGCATCGGTGTCGGCGCCCTTGTAGATAGAGGGAGCGTCGTCCTCGCCGTAGATGCGGCTCGAGTCGTTGAGAGCGCCCTGTACCGAGGGATCGGCAAAGGGGTTGGCATCGAGGGCGTTCCTGTCGGAGAATGGGTCTGCGGACGCCATGGCAAGCGGTGGGTGGGTGCGTGCGTGTTGGTGGGTCGGCGGTGGCAAGGATGGAAGCGGCGGGCTCGTGGCAGAGTCGGAGTGTGTCCGGAGCGTCGAAAGGTCGTGATGAGCCTGTGGTTGGAACAGAGGCGTTTGAGGTCGTCAGAAGATGGCCAAGGGGGGCAGCGAGGTGGGTGGGTCGTGATGGAGGCCAGCAAGAGGCGACCGACGGCGGCCAGCAGCAACCAACGAGCGAGTCGACGCCAAGCGGCAGGCTGCTGCGCCGTTGCCCGTTGGGGGGCTGCGCTGTGCGGCTGTGCTGTTTTTCTCGCCCGCCCGCGCTTCGACCACCCTGCCTGGCCTGGCCTGCCATGGCCTCACAGGGCCTCGAAGGCATGGCCGGCCCGTGAGCCAACACTGCTGCCAGCTGGCCCAGCACGCGCGCAATCCAACAACGTCGCAGCCAGGGCGTCGACGCTTGAGTCCGCAACGTGCCCTCATGCCCGCCAACGTCGTACACGGAGCTTCAACGAGGCAGAGGACCCCAATGGCAGGAGGGCTACATCTCAGCTGGACGGGACGACGGCGCCGCGGGCCCAGGAGGGTTGCCCCGATGGCAGGCTGAGTTGCCTTGCCAGCCCGATTGATGACCTGTCCCGATTTGTTGCCGAGCCCTGGCGAAGAAACGCCAACGCGTCGGTTGCGTGGGGTTCGACGGCGGCCGGGGGGTTGGCCAGGCTGCCTCTGAGCCCGCTGCTCCTCCACCGTCGCTGCCGCCGCCCGCTTGGCCCCCTCTCGGCTTTGGTCCGCCAGCCACCTCGCAACGTTGTCCGCACCATATCATCCCAGCAGCCGCAGCCACAGCCACAGCCGCAGCCGCAGCCGCAGCATCGCCTCGACTGTGCCACCAGGCTCACCACAAACAACGCGCTCCCTCGCTGCCGGCTAGCCTACACCGCTCCTCACACAGCAGAGCCAACCCAACGGGCGACCCACGCGGACCCTCCTCGACCCGGCCTCGATCCTCGCCCTCGGTGCCCAACGCCATCCCCACCATCACCCCATGCCCGCCACGCGAGCCTCTGCAACGGGCCTCGAAGCCTCCAACGTGAGTCTTCCCATGTCCTTGCCTGCTACCATGGCTGTCAGGACGGCACGCCGCTCCGAAGTCGCATTTCGCCCGCCGTGGTGGTCGCCGTGTCGTGTTCGGAAAAGGCGACGTGGGAAAAAGTCCAATCGAGGCCACCGACCCCTCCTTGGCCGACCTCCCATCCGCAAGCCCAACGCAACACAACACCCAGTACCTACGCCTTCGACGCGTGCCTCGCCGCCTTCCAAGTGGCACCCGCGACTGCCCATCCGCAGCAGCCATCCTGGCCCGACCGTCCCAGACAACCTGCTCTCGCCGCCTTCGCGCTGCTGACCATTTGCAGGGGGCCCCACCCCCTCCTCTCCTCGCCCTGCTTCCCGCCATCCTAGATCATTGAGGGCTCCCGCAAGCGGTCCAGGCCCACCGCTGACCATGCCGACGATGCACAGCGCCAAGGCTCGGGCGCTGCCGCCGCCGCCACCGGTTCCATAGAGCGCCGCATCAACGCCCTCACCCGCGACCAGGTCACCCAGCGCGGCTTCCACCTCCTCAACGCCCTCATGGACGCCCGCGATCCAGCCGACGGCGGCCTCCTCTGCGAGCCCTTCCTCAAGCTGCCCAGCAAGCGCCAGTACCCGGACTACTACGAAATCATCAAAAAGCCCCTCACCCTCGAAGACGTCCGCAACCGCCTCAACAAGGGCCAGTACGCCTCGCTCCCCGACGTCAAGCACGACTGCGACACCATCTGCAACAACGCAAAGCGCTACAATGTCCGCGACAGCGAAATCTTCCAGATGGCAAAGGAGCTCCATGTGAGTCGCATCGGTCGTCTGCATCTGCACCGCCGCCAGCGTCAGCCCGTGTCGCTGACCCCGACCCCCGCCGTCCCTCTGGAACAGAGTGTCGTAAAGTTGACCTATGTCTCCATCATCGAGTCGCTGCCAGAGCCCGCCCCGGCATCGGCCAAGCCTCTCCCGACAGCAGGCGAGCGGTCAGAGCAGTCCGACCCACCTTCGGCCGCCGCCGCCGATGCTGTCAAGCAAGAAGAAGGTCGCTCCGCTCCGAGGTCCAAACGCATCACGCTTCGCCACAGCCGGTCCAAGCAGAAACTGTCCAGCGAAGCACCAGCGGCCTCGGAGCCAGCGCCGCCGTCGTCGGACCCTGCTCCGGACGCGCAGGAGGGGCAGAAGGCCTTGGAAGTGCCATCGCGATTACGCCCACAGCGGGACACGCAGCCATCGGCGGCAGCCCCGTCCGAAGTCAAGACCGAGACCCAAGGAACCCAGAGCGCCCTATCTGCGGCTGCAGCGGCGACGCCGGCCGGCGAGGCGGCGCCAACAGAAGGGTCAGCTTCGAGCACAGCAGCGGCTGCTGCTGCCGCCGCCGCCGCCGCCGCCGCCGCCGCCGTCAGGACCGATGCCGGTGCTGACGCGGATGCCGACGCCGAGGGTGAAGACGACGACATGATGGACGTCGACGACGACGGCGCCGAAGGCTCGCAGCGCTCGGGATACACGCGGACCGAGTCGCCCATGGACCACAGCGCCGCAGGACTGACCAAGGGCGGCCTGCTCGACGGCCGAAAGCGCCCAGGAAAGCGGGGCAAGCGCCTTAAGGCCACGCTGCGGGGCCTGATTGCGAACCTGCGCAAGGTCGTCGGGCGGCAGTGAGTCGGACGCGTCGCTGCGACCGGTGACGCTCGGCGGCGATCGGAGCACGCTAACGTTCTCTCCCCCTGACCCGCTTTTGCCAACCGCGCCGACAGAGGACATCCCCTCACGCAGTTCTTTGACGAGCTGCCATCGCAGCAGCAGTACCCTGACTATTATAGCGTCATCCAGGAGCCCATCTCCCTGGCCATGATTGAGGTGAGCCGCCCCCGTGTCTTTCTTTGCCGTGCAGTCGCCGCCTGCTGGGTCGTGCTGACCTGGCCGGCTTCCCTGTACGTGCGCACTTCCTCGCCAGCGTCGGGTCCACGACAAGCGCTACGTCAACGCCTACGCCCTCTTTGTGGATCTCGAGCACATGCTCGACAATGCGCAGACCTACAACGAGCCTGGGTCCACCGTGTGGAACGACGCCGAGGAGATCAAGGTGGGTTTGCCGTCGTGCGGCCGTCCCCTGCCTCTTCGCTCTGCGTGGCGTGCGTGCTCACAGACGTCTCCCGCGACTCGACCCACCGACGATTCGACAGGGATACCTAGAGAGCGTCGCCATCCCTTCGCTGCTCGAGGACGGCTTCACGCTGGAAAAGGACGACGTGCGTCAGTCGGCGCTCCCGCTCCACCTGGCAGCCAACAGCACCATCGAGGCTCACAAGGCGGCGTACCGCCTGCTGGTGGCCAAGAGCCAGGGACTCGATCCCAGCTCGGACATGCATTCGATGACCTCGGCGAGCCCGGAGCCGAGTGGGACCAGGCTGCGGCTGGGCTCGGCCGCGGCACAGGGCGCCGCTGCGATGCAGTCTCCCAGCCTCAATGGCGACCGTCCGCTCCCGGCGGCCTCGGCCTCGCCCATGGGTGCGCACATGTCACCGCCTCGAGCGGCAGGTCGTCTCCCAACTGCAATGTCTCCTCCGTCGGTCGCCCAGCCGTTTGGCAGCATGGCACCGCCAGGCGCGGCGATGTCACCGCCGAGGCAGGCGAGCGCGGCAGTGGCGCTCACGTCGCCGCAGCGGCCATCCCAGCCCGACGCCACTGCGACCACGCCCGGCCGCGCCACGCGTTCCACACGATCCGCCAAGCCGGCCCACTTTGGTCCCGTGACGCCCATCACCGAGGCCAAGCAGGGCACCAGGGGCAGGGACGGCGA